CCTGCATTGGCAGACGGATTCTTAACCACTGCGCCACCAGGGAAGCCCCAGCCATTATTTCTTCAAGTATTCTTTCTACCCCTCTCTCTCTCGCTTCTCCTTCTGGGACTCCCACAATGTGTATGTTGGTCTGTTTAATGGTGTCCCACAGGACCCTTAGGCTCTGTTTACTTTCCTTGAATCTTGATAATTTTCATTGTCCTGTTTTCAAGTTTGCTGATTCTTCTACTGATCAAATCTGCCTTTGAGTACCTCCAGTGAATTTTAAAATTTCAGTTAATGTACTTTTTAGCTCCACAATTTTTTTGGTTTCTTTTTAGGTTTTCTATTTCTTTACTTGTATTTCCATTTTATTCCTACCTTGCTTTCTTGACTTTCTCCATATCTTCTTTTAGTTTTCTGAGCGTCTTTAACATGGTTGTTTTAGAGTCCTTGTCTAGAAGATCCACCATCAGGTCTTTTTCAGGGACAGCTTCTGTTTTATTTTTTCCTTTGAATGGGCCATATTTTCCTGTGTCTTTGAGTGCCTTGTGCTTTTTTTGTTGTTGTTTGTTTAAAACTGGACATTTGGGTGCTTCCCTGGTGGCACAGTGGTTGAGAACCTGCCTGCTAATGCAGGGGACATGGGTTCGAGCCCTGGTCTGGGAGAATCCCACATGCCGCGGAGCAACTAGGCCCGAGAGCCACAACTACTGAGCCTGCACGTCTGGAGCCTGTGCTCTGCAACAAGAGAGGCCGCGATAGTGAGAGGCCCGCGCACCGCGATGGAGAGTGGCCCCCGCTTGCCACAACTAGAGAAAGCCCTCGCACAGAAACGAAGACCCAACACAGCAAAAATAAATAAATTAATTAATAAACTCCTACCCCCAACATCTAAAATAAATAAATAAAACTGGACGTTTGGATCTAGTAATGTGGTATCTCTGGAAATCAGATTACTCTCCTTGCCTAGGATTTGCTGTTTTTGTTTTTCTTTGGTTGTTGTAGATCGTCTCTGTACCAAGGATCAGCCTGAGGCATAAATTAAGGTTTTCTCAGCCTGTAACTGGGAATGTGTGGTCACTTTCAAGTTTTCCCCTTTTATATAGTTGCTTTTGAATATCATAATCTTTAATGTCTGGCTCCCTGAAGCAGAAAACGAAAAATTAAAAGGGGAAGGAAAGGGCACTGGCCCTTTAAATCCAGTAGCACTTCAGCTGGAGGGGGAGGGTCCTATAGCAATGGGGGAGGTGCAACAATGGCCGCCTGCCTGTTTGGCCACACCTCTGTGATCGGAAGTGGGACGCAGAGGTCAGAGCAGATACCCAGTATTTGGAGGACAGGGTCTTTTTTGCCCACCTTGGCTCCTGCAAGCTGTGTGTAGGCTGTTCCAGAAACAGGTGTATGGCCTCCAGTGGCATGGCTAGGGGTGGGATGGGTAGCTGCTACTGTAGGAAGAGCTGAAATTGACTGAAATTAACCTCAATTTACTGTCCAAGTGCTCAGATGGAAGTTGCAAGTCTTTAGGACTTGAGATCCAAAACAGTCACACTAGACAGATTTCTGCCAGTGCACTGTTTTTCAGGTGAGGAGAAGATTCCCGGTGCTCCCTCCTCTGCCATATTCCCAGAACTTTCCAGGCCGTGCTCGTTTTTGTCCTACCTGTTTGCCTGCTCCCCCCTGCACTCTTCCAGTGGGGAGGAGGTGTGCTGCATCCTCATCAGTGCCTCCCCTGCTACACCTTCAGCGCATGGCACTTGTGGTGAAGGCCCAGTGAATTGACTTTTCTTAAATTCCCTGCTTGCCCCTGTTCTCTCACTCCCCCTTCAGCTGCTGCTGCAGTCTGCACATGGCCAGCCACTGAGAGCTGCCCGGGGAGGAGAGAGGAGAGGACTGTGCTGGGCTGGAGAGTGTCTCCCCCAGATTCCTTTCCACCTGGAGCCTGTGATTATGACCTTATTTGGAAGTAGGGTCTTTGCAGGGGTAATAAATTTAAATGAAGTCCTACTGGCCTGGGGTGGACCCTAATCCAGTGACTGGTGTCCTTATAAGACAGCCATGTGAAGTTGGGGGCAGAGATTGGAGGGAGGCATCTACAAGCCCAGGGTTACCAGCAACCAGCAGAAGCTGGAAGAGACGAGGAAGCATTCTTCCCTAGAGTCCCGGAAGGCACATGGCCTGCTGACACCTGGATTTTGGATCTCTAGCCTGTGAGAGGATACATGTCTGTTGTTTTAAGTTACCTAGGTTGTGGACTTTGTTACGGCAGCCCGAGCAGACTAATAAAGGGATGAAGTCCAAGAGGCTATGCCTCCTTTTTTTTTTTTTTTTTTGCGGTACGCGGACCTCTCACTGTTGTGGCCTCTCCCGTTGCGGAGCACAGGCTCCGGACACGCAGGCTCAGCAGCCATGGCTCACGGGCCCAGCCGCTCCACGGCATGTGGGATCTTCCCAGACCGGAGCACGAACCCGTGTCCCCTGCATCGGCAGGCGGACTCTCAACCACTGCGCCACCAGGGAAGCCCTGAAATCACAGCTTTTGATTTGAATAACTCTAAAATGTAGTGAAAGTCCACTCTCAGGGCAGGTCTCTCTTTACCATCCGTGTCTACTCCAGGTACACTTCTGAGCCACTGTGGAGGGCAACTAGGTCCAGCTCGGGGGAGTGTGGCGTGTCTATCCCACCAGTAGTGACAAGGCCACCCCAGAGCTGTGATGCTGGCAGGGGGAGACAAGTCCAGGCGAAGGGTGGGCCGTGGCGGGCCTGGCATCTGTGACACTGGAGGGAGGGGCTCCTGCTGCGTTTTCCATGGTAAGGACGTGGGACAGGGGCCTTGACCAGCTGGCACTGCCTTCAGAAGCGGCCAGTTTTTAAAGAGGACAAATAAATCCAAGGCCAGGAAACAATCAGCAGTGAGAGCCTGAGCTTTCGTTGGGGTTTGGTGTTCTTTTTCCTGTTTATGGTATTTTATGCTAAGAAGGCTGTAGTTGGTTCTCAGCTCTGTGAATGCCCCATCGCACTGTGTGGACGTGGCTTCACCCAGACCAAGTGACTTTGCACCAGCCGGCAGCCCCAGCTATGTGGACAGGCTCAGAAGGCCACGCGTGGTGGCCCCCAGCGCCCCCTTCCCAGTCCTGCAGGTGCAGCCTGGTGCCGAAGGGCCGTCTGCTGGGAGGAGGTATGGATGCCGACCGGCCAGCTTGCAGAGAGACGCCTCTTCTCCTCCTTTGGTTCAGGGGTGAGGTCGTCGGGGCCAAAAGGTGGAAAAATGAAAGTAATGACCTTCCAAGAGTGGGTCTCACCTGGCTTGACTGGTACCCCTGAGAGTGTGACATCTGTGAGTCGAGGGCAGGGAGGTGTGATGGCGTGATGGAGTGCCAGCGCCACACGCCTTGGAGCGGAAGTCCCAGTTGACGGGCTCATTCCCAGTGATGTGTCACACCCGTCATCACCAGTCCTGCTACTTCTTCCGCACTTGGTGGTGGACATTTCCCACTTGCCGGGGCCTGACCTCCTCATCTCCCCCGCCGCCCTCACGGTCTGCCTCGCCATCTGCCAGGCCTCTGCTCTTTTCTGTTTTGAGTCCCTGTTGTGAAGTGCAGATCTAGAACAGCCTCTTCCTCTAGGCCTTTGCTAAGAGAGCCAAACCGGTCATTCTTACTGCAGTTTTTCTTCTTTCCTCTCTTTCTGTTCATTTCTAGAGCGAAGTCCAAGGAAAATGGGAAGGAGAGGAATCTTAAACATTCCCTGAGGGAATTCCCTGGGGGGCGTCCAGTGGTTAGGACCCGGCGCTTTCACTGCCAAGTGCCTGGGTTCGATCCCTGGTTGGGGAACTAAGATCCTGCAAGCTACGCAGTGCAGCCAAAAAAAAAAAAAAATTTCCTGAGAGAGGGAGAGGTTTCCGGAATGTTTTCTGGCTCACCTGGCTGGAGTGGTTCGGTCACACGCTGGGCTTATCCATGGATTGGTTATCACAGGTGCACGGGGTGTCTGGGTGCAGGAGCGCGGGGAGCGGCCCTTGCCTCGTGGATGCGCGTGGGCCCAGGGAGCCAGGCTGGGACCCGGAGACTGGCTGTGTTCCTGAGATCCACCACTTATTGTTTTATTAATTTATTTTGTTGAGGTATAGTTAATTTACAATGTTGCATTAATTTCCACCATACAGCAAAGTGATTCAGTGACACACACACATACATATATACATTCTTTTTTGTATTCTCTTTCATTACGGTTTGTCACAGGATATTGAATATAGTTCCCTGTGCTATACAGTAGGACCTGGTTCTTTACCCATTCTCTATATAATAATGTGCACCTGCTAATCCCAAACTCCCAATCCATCCCTCCCCCTTGGCCACCACAAGTCTGCTCTCTACGTCTGTGGGTCTGTTTCTGTTTCGTAGATAAGTTCATTTGTGCCATATTTTAGATTCCACATATAAAGTGGTATGATATGGTATTTGTCTTTCTCTTTCTGACTTTATTTAGTATGATAATCTCTAGGTCCACCCCACCAATTATTTCTTAACCCCAGTCTTAACCCAGCCATGTGACCTCTGGGCATTTATCCCGTGGCTGTATTTGCATAAGGGCACAAGGAAGCAGCCACATGTCTGCCAGCTGGAGGTGTGTGTTCAGTAAATCTGGAATCTGTCGTGAAGCTCCAGGCTGTGGTTGAAAAGAACAAGGCAGGTTCTGTGCTGCTGTGGAATAAGGTATACTGCTGAGGAGGAGAAAAGCGTGTTGTAGCATCCGTTTGTGTAAAAGTACATGTGTTATAGATGCTTATAAACACTCTGGAAAGGTCCGTACCCAAATAGTGAGTAGTTGCCTCTGGCGAGTGAAGCTGGGGGCAGAGGAGCTGCTGGGAGAAAGGAATTGAAGTTTTCATTTGCTTTCCTTCTGTATGTTTGAATTTTTTATAACCATGCACATGTTTTCATTTTAAAGCAGGTAAGAGAGTAGTAATTCAGGGTTCCGTTAGTAATGTTGGCCCTGTATTCCATTCCACTGTGCTAAGAAGCTTCTCGGTTCCTGGGGTCCATCCCTCCTCGTGAGCACGCAGGAGGTGAGCTTGAGCGCCTCCCTGAGTGGAGCCCAGATCCTTCTCCTGCCACTTCCTCACGTGGAGCTCAGGCTCAACCCTGACTTTTCTGAAGCTGTTTTTTCATTTGTAGGATGGACTGGTTCATCCTGCTTCACCCCTCTTATGTACTGTTTATGCTGGTGATTACTTTGAAAATGGGAAAGCACAAAACTAAGGCTGGGTTTAAAGTAAATTGTAATTTTAAGGACTTTTTTAAAAAAATTAATTGGGGTTGGGTATCTTAGTTTCCTAGAACTGCTGTAACAAAGTACCATAAACTGGGTGGTTTACAACAACAGATGCTTCATCTTTCGGTGTTCTAGAGGCCGGAAGCCCCAAATCAGGGTGTCGCTGGCAGAGATGTGCTCCCTCCGAGGCTCTGGGGGAGGGGCCTTCTTTTTGTCTTTCGGCTTCCGGTGGCTGTCGGCATCCCTGGTTTTCTTTGGCTTGCGGACACATCACTCCAGTCTCTGCCTCTGTCGACATGTGGCCGTCTTCTGTATCTGTGTCCATGTTTCCTTCTTCTTATGAGGACACCAGTCATTGGATTAGGGTCTATTCTAATCCAGTATGACTTCATTTTAGCTCAGTGCATCTTCACAGACCCTAATTCTAAGTAAAGTCACATTCCCAAGTATCGGGGGTTAGGGCGTGGGCATATCTTTTGGGGGGCTACCCACTGCAGTGGAGTTTCTACCCTTCTCATCAAGAAGTATTTGGAATTGCCGCACTTAGTAATTTGATGATGTAAGATCTAACATTATGAATTTGCTCATGAAAATAGAATTTTAGATGAAGTTTCAGTTAGAACTTTATGGGCTGAAAACTCCAAAGTTAATTATTCGTTCAGAAGCCAACCTCCAAATGAGCGCGTTTATCACCTCCTGATGGGTGTCCGTGCTGGACTTCTGCTCTAGGAATGTTTGTTCCTGATATTGCTTCTTATAGTCAAATCAACTGTGCTTTTAAATCTGCCCCTTAGGAAATCGAGAGACTTTCCGAGCAACTAGAAGAAAAAGAGAGGGAGACGAAGCAGCTGATGAGCCAGCCGGAGCGGGAGCAGAAGGAAGTGGCCCTGCTGAGGAGAGGCGCGGCCCAGAAGGGGCGGGCCCCGGCCGCCAGCGACATCCTGTGCCGCTCCCTGGCCGACGAGACGCATCAGCTGCGCAGGACGCTGGCCGCCACCGCCCACATGTGCCAGCACCTGGCCGAGTGTCTGGATGCACGCCAGCGCGCAAAGGGGGACGCGGGGGAGAGGAGCCCCGAGGTAGGCTGCGGTGTCAGCACGCCACGGTGCGGACCGAGGTGCAGCAGGAGGCCTCGTCTCGCGCTCAGGATCCCTCAGCCGTCATGGAGGTCGAGGGGCGCCCAGGGCCCCCCCTGCTCTCCATAGTGAGGGTTGCAGCAAAGCCCGCCCATCCGGGGATTTCTTCTAGCACGGTGGGAGGTGCAGAACGTGACAGGGAAGCAGGTGGCCTGCGTCACCAGCTGCCACCCCCAGACCTGCAGGTGACCCTGGTCCTCGTGGGGAGATGGCACTGTGGTCTCATCAGCCTTCGCTGAGGACGAAGCAGTCAGAGCAGGGGCGGGAGGGGTGTCCTGAGCAGGTGCTGGCACGCGTGCAGGCGGGCGAGGGGCAGCGCCTCCAAAGGCCGCAGGTGGTGAGGAATCTGCTGGGCGGGCCGGGGCGGGGGAGGGCTCCATGTGTCTCAGCCGGGGCCCTCCTGCAGTGAAGGGAGGACACGGAGCCCTTCTGTGTACCTGGCGCTGTGACCCCTGGCCAGGCCGTAGGCAGGGTGGGGCCAGCAGGGAGGGAGCCGGGCAGGGGGCGGGGCCGGGGGCCGGGGTCAGGGGCAGGCGGCCTACAGGACTGAGTGGAGCTGGGCTGTGGCTGTGTGTGCGGTCTGGTCGGGGAGGGGACAGTGTGGTTTCAGCATCAGGAATTCCCTACCTGGGAGATCAGGGGGTTCCTGGCTGGGGGTGTTGGGAGCACGGGGCGAGGCTGCCTTCCCTGCCTGTCTGATTCCACGCAGTGCACACCCTGCCCCGCCCAGCCCAGATTACTCTTTTCTAGGCAGTTCTCTGATCCTCAGGGGCTGCAACCAGGCTGACTCAGAAACGCGGGGGAGGCGGGGACAGGCCCTCCAGCCCCTTAGCAGCAGCTCCACTGGGAAGCCCGCTGGGGAGAACCTTGGTCTGAGAACCGGTCTGAGAACTGCCCGTCTCCGCGGGTGGATTCCACGAAAAGGGAACCTCAGAAAGCACACAGGCACATTTCAGATACCACAGTGCTCTCTGGGGGCAGGCTGTGACTCTGGGATTTTGAGTCACTGTGTCATTTCCCTCTGGGGATTTGAACACAGCCGCAGTCGTGTTTGGCCCGGGCAGGGGTGGGGCCGGGGCTCTTAACAGGCTCTACATCCGTCACTTCTCAGCCCTGGACTCGGCTGAGTCATCGGGGTTTCCCGGTGCCCGCTGGGTTAGGACGTGTAGTTCCCTTGTCATTCGAGGGGAATTCTCAAAAGTACCGGCACCAGCATACAGCCCACCGTACTGTTAAATGCACTGGATTCCTAGGATTCACATGGACTTTTCGGCTAGCTCTGCCCACCGCCGTTAGGGCTGGTTTGGCACGTGGGTTTCCAGGCATGAGTCCCAAGACCCCGAGTGAGGCACGGGTGGACTGCCGTGTACAGAATCACTGAGGTCAACCCTGCTTGCGTGACGTGACACGACAGTGTGGTGGGCCCAGAGGGAGGGAGCCAGGTCCCTGGCCGGGCCTGCTCCTGGCGGCCCTGTGGCCCTGGGCTGGAAGGTTCTCTGGTGGACGGTGAGATTAAGCTTCTTGCCCTCCCGACTCCCGTGATGATGGAAAGTCTCAGGCATGAGAAGACTGAGCAAGGCTTGGCCCCAGCGTGGGGTGGGCTCGGGCGGGGCGAGGACCACCCCTCCCCCACCCTCGGGAAGGGGCACGCCCCACCTGCCGCAGTGCGGGCTGCAGTGACCATCTGCACCCTCAGTCTCCAGGTGTGGCTTCCTACCCTCTTGCCGCACACGACAGTCACATTCGGTGACACGGTGTCTGCTCTCCGTCCCTTTCTTATGCAGCCAGCGCCTGCAGATGGGGACGGCTCTGTCCACGCAGTTGTTGCGAAGTTACAGGAGGAGAATCGACTGTTGAAGCAGAAGGTGACTCACGTGAGTGTCTGTTAGATGCCCCTCGGGAAGAACTTTCCCTCACGGCCCACAGATGAGGGTCCTCTCCTCGGCTGTGCCCAGGGGTTGCCCCTGCCCTCGGGCCACTCCAGCTGATATGCGCAGTCCCTGTAGGCCCGACATATTTGCCTGAAAGGACGTGTAGAACACGCTTGTCATTCTCCGGCCCCCAAGTTAATTCACATGTGGATAAATGAGGTACAAGAATTACTATCAAGTACAGCTTTTACGGTGGGAAATTGTAGCAAGTCTGCTTCTGTCTACGGCAGTTGTTTGTGGCCATTGTTGCCACGTCCTAGTGTCCCCTCTGCACAGAGCAAACTGAGACTTTTTTTTTGGCCTTCATTCCTTTTATTTTTTTAAAATTAATTAATTAATGTATTTAGTTTTGGCTGCGTTGGGTCTTCGTTGCAGTGCGCGGGCTTCTCATTGCTGTGGCTTCTCTTGTTGCGGAGCATGGGCTCTAGAGCGCAGGCTCAGTAGTTGTGGTTCATGGGCTTAGTTGCTCCGCGGCACGTGGGATCTTCCCGGACCAGGGCTCGAACCCGTGTCCCCTGCGTTGGCAGGCGGATCCTTAACCACTGTGCCACCAGGGAGGTCTCCTGAGGCAACTTTCATTTAAGGGGAGACTCACTCTGCTCCTTGTTGCTAGTGAATAGCTTCACAGTTCAGGTTGGCTTGAGAGCAGGTTCTCAGCCGCTGCCACCGTGAGCGTTCCGGCCTCCTCAGGTGGAAGACCTCAATGCCAAGTGGCAGCGCTACGACGCCAGCAGGGATGAGTACGTGAGGGGACTCCACGCACAGCTGAGAGGGCTGCAGGCCCCCCTCGAGCCTGAGAGGCCCTCCCCGCCCGAGCTGATGAGGAAGGAGATCTCCCGGCTCAACACACAGTTGGAGGAGAAAATCAACGACTGTGCAGAAGCGAGGCGGGAGCTGGAGGCCGTGAGGAGGGCCCGGGACGCCGCGCTGGAGCGGGTGCAGATGTTGGAGCAGCAGGTGCCCCCCACCCCGGGGCCGGGTGCTGGGGGGCGCTGGGGGCCTTTCTCTGAGCAGAAACGGCGCTGCCCTCTGACGGTTGAGTGTCTGTCTCCTCACAGATCCTCGCGTACAAGGATGACTTCACGTCGGAGAGGGTTGACCGGGAGCGGGCTCAGAGTAGGATCCAGGAGTTGGAGGAACGGGTGGCCTTGCTGCAGCGCCAGGTACCCTGCAAACAGGTAGAACGGAGGCCCATCTCCCCCGGTCCAGGCTGGGCGTTTTCTTCGTGTTTCTTTCATCGGTTTCAATCCCTTTCTGCGTCTGCCGAGACCCTGATTCTGTGCTCCGGGCAGAGCCGTGGTGCCCGGTGCCTGGGGCCTGGTGGCAGAAAACCTCCCTGTCGTACCGTGTGTGTCTGTAGAGGATGTTGGCGTGGTGGCGTGTGACCTCAGGGGTGGCTGTCGGGCCTGTCCTGCACCCAGAGGGCGCGTCCTGGGCCTCGGGCTCCCTACTGGGAGCTTCGTGCACGTGTGTCCCCTCCTCGCTGTGCTGCAGGGACCCTGGTCGCCCTGTCACACACACGCAGCCCCTGAGGCTCCAGGCGTCTCCTGGCGCCCCCCAGCTCACAGCCCCCGTGCACGGAGATGGGCCGTGCAGGTGGGCAGGCCCCGCAGCTCACTCTGGGCTCCGTGCCGCCCCGCCACAGGGGGTGCTTCTTGGGAGGCCGGGCCTGGGTGGGAACTGACCGTTTCTCACTGCAGGACCCGGGCGCCCACACGCCTCTTCCCTGTTCCTCCCTGGTTCCGCCCAGAGCACCCGATACACATCCTCCTGAGGGGCTAGCACCCTGGCGGGGCGGGGATGCCGAGCTTACCCCGGAACCACCCTTCGTGGTTGGTGGGAGCCATCCTCAGTGCCCCATCCTGCGTGGCTGTGGACCCCACTGGTGGACAGAAGGGTGGCCCGGCCTGCCGAGGCCCGGGGCCTGTGCACCGAGTGGCCTCTGAGCCCCTTTCAGCTGCGGCCTGTGGCCGTCGAGCTTTGGGAGCACTGCTCGGCCCCTGGGCGACACCCCGGGGCGGGCGGTGGTGAAGCTGTGGGCCAGGAGCCAGGGTCCCGCCGCCTGGGCTGCGGCTCCCACACGAGGCGTGATGAGCTTCGGGGCTGACGTCGGGGGCGATCATGTCGGCCGTGCCACGGGCACCCCTGCTGCCTCCAGAGACCCCCCCCCCCCCCCCCCCCCGGGGGGGGCCAGGTTTCCGGGCCCCCCCCCTGCCCCGCGGCGGGGGGGGGGGGGCGGCTGGGGGGGCCGCGGGGGGGGTCGGGGTTGGGGGGGGGGCCGCCCCCCCCCCCCAGCTCGGGCCTGTTCCTCTGTGAGCACAGGCAGGAGGCTGTTCACGGAGCACGTCCTCATTTGGGCCCCAGCACCAGGCAGAGCGACGGTGCACGTCCCACTGTGCAGCAGGTGTATCTCTAGTTGCTGGAGCCCAAGGCCAGCCTCGTAAGCTGACCCTTTGTCTTTTTTCCAGGATCCTCGAGAGCCAGGCTCTTGCCGGGTTCATACTGGGGGCAAAACTCCCGGGTACTTAGAGACTGACGCTTCGGAGCTCGTGGCACCCGGTGGCTGGAGGCCTGGGATGGGATCCCAGCGGCCAGAACTCCCCGCAGAGGGCGGGAGCCCCGGAGCGACCCAGAGAGGCCAGGGGGACCTGCAGTGCCCTCACTGCCTGCAGTGCTTCAGCGACGAGCAGGGGGAGGAGCTCTTCCGGCACGTGGCTGACTGCTGCCAGTGAGCCCTGCTGGCCAGCGGCCCGGGGCCCGGGGGTGCTCCCAGCACGCAGCAGCGAGACGCGGGGCCCCCAGAACAGGCTGGGGGTGATTCTGAGCCTTCCCCTTGGTCCCCCTTGGGTCAGGGGGCACTTCCGGTGGGGCTGGAGGGAGAGGTGGGGTTGGGAGCATTCGTGCCCAGGAGGGCTCAGCCTCGCCTCTGGTGTGGAGTTTGACGTCCGAAGCTGTCAGTCAGGCTGAGGCCGTGCGAGACATGGCGCGGGGTTCTCCCGGGCCCGCAGGACAGACCTGTCCCAGCCGCACCTGGGGATGCTGCAGGTCACTGGGACAAGGTGGCTGCCCGTGGGAAGTGCGCCCACGCCCACCAGGAGGCGTGCACAGCTGAGCACTGTGCCTGCGCCGAAATAAGGCTGCACTGCAAGAGTGGGTGCTGCATATCCGGAACTTAAACGTGTTTATGTCACATTACTTATTTTTGTAATAAATGCACTTGCTACAGCGACTGCTGCGAGTGTGCGCTGGGGGCTGGGGTGCAGGGACCCGGCACCATTTCCATCTGGGCCTGAGTTACACCAGCCGGGGAGGAGAAACACACTTTCTTACTGTTTGTCACCTGTTTGTTTGTTAGGGCATCCCGAGGGGGTGGTCAGCGGGAGGCCAGCCTGCCCAGCACTCTGCCGTCGGCCTGTTTTAGCTCCAGCCAGGATGTGAAGCGCTGGGGGTGAGGCGGGAGGAACTAGGCGCCTGGCGAAGGCAAGAGAGAGGCTTGCAGGGCAAGGACTGCGTGCATAGTCCTGGTGGGGTCAGGGCTGTGTGACTCCAGTTAACCTTCAGAACGGTCGCAGGAGGTAAGTACTTCGGTCGATCATCCTCAACACAGGTGTGGAACATGAGGCACAGAGGGGTAAGGTCACTTGCCCAAGGTCACAGTAGCAGGGGACAAAGCTAGGATGTAAACCCAGGCCATCTGGCTCCTGAGCCCACATTCTACTTCCCAACGTGCAGGAGCTGCCGGCACGGTGAAGGGCCAGCATTGGGTGCATGTGCTGTCCCTCCTGCCTGCAACACTTGCTCACCCTCTCCGCTGGCTAAGTAGGTCCTCCTCCAGTTGTAGTTCAGGCGTCAACTCCTCTGTAGGATCCCCGCGCACCCCACTTTCCAGGAGCCCGACTGGAAGGGATCAGTCGCTGCGGCGTGGGTGCTAGAACGTCACAGGAAGCCTCCGTCTCACTGTCCTGAGGAGTTGGAGGAGTTTGGAAATAGATGGGGACCTCCCGGAGAGAAGGGAGCTGCAGAAGGGGGAGCCCTCAAATCCTTGGCTGACCCCTGAACTGTGCGAGCTTAGCGTAAGACTCCAAGAATCCTGGGGCAGGAACAGCGGCTGGAAGGCAGGATGTGCTGAGGAGAGCTCCCAGCGGCTGTCCACCATAGGGTGGCAGTTCCGAAGTTGAGTCCCTTGGGGTTAGAGGGGCTGGAAAACCTTGGTTTTCCTTTGAAACCCTCAAAGGGCCACATTTTAGGAGTAAAGTTGACATCTTAGGGCCAAATCAAAACAGCCCTGCTCTTCCAGGCAGCCAACCGGTAATTCACTGGCCTGTTGGAACAAAATCCGGCTTTCTTCAGAGCCAGGACCTTGTACTATATTAACCACAGTCCAATACACAGTAAAAAATACTAGACATATGGAAAAAAAGGCATAATGAAGATATATTCACGCACACACAAAGATATATTCACACAAATACAAGCTAACAAAAATTTATATCCAGCAGATTGTACGACAAGAAAAAAGTATACTATGGAAATTACTCAGGCTAGAGGGAAATGATTCTGGATAAAAACAAACATAGAAAGGAATGAAGAGCATGGGAATGGGGACTTCCCTGCTGGCATAGTGGTTAAGACTCCATGCTTCCAATGTAGGGGGCCCGGGTTTGATCCCTGGTCAGGGAACTAGATCCCGCATGCATGCTGAAACTAAGAGTTCGCGTGCCGCAACTAAGGAGCTGGCAAGCTACAACTAAGGAGCCTGCGACTAAGACCTGGCACAACCAAATAAATAAATAAATAATTTTTTAAAAAAAGAGCATGGGAATGAGTAGATATGAATGAATATTGACTGTTTAAAACAATAATGTTGGGACTTCCCTGGTGGCGCAGTGGTTAAGAATCTGCCTGCCAATGCAGGGGACATGGGTTCGAGCCCTGGTCCGGGAAGATCCCACATGCCGTGGAGCAACTAAGCCCGTGCGCCACAACTACTGAGCCTGCGCTCTAGAGCCCGCGAGCCACAACTACTAAAGCCCGCATGCCTAGAGCCCGTGCTCCGCAACAAGAGAAGACACTGCAATGAGGAGCCCGTGCACTGCAACCAAGAGCGGCCCCCGCTCGCCGCAACTGGAGAAAGGCCGCGTGCAGCGACGAAGACCCAACGCAGCTAAAGAACAACAACAACAAAAACCCCCAATAACGTCTTGAGGGTTTTAAAACATGCAAACGTGACCACAAGAACTTTCTAGGTGAGGGACGGGAGTGTTTAATGAACTTATACAAGTGTAGGGTTTTTGCATTGATTTGTGGTGGACTAATGAACTAAGGAAGCATAATCTCTAGGGTAACCACTAAAGAAGTAATGAAAATATCTAATTAGAAGGTTGATAGAACAGAAAAATGTTTTTATTAATCCAAAGCAAGACAGGTTAGGAGAACCAAAGGGATAAAGGAGAGACGAGACAAAGAGCAGCTGGAAGATGGTAGACTTAACCAACTGTATCAGTAATTACATTAAAATAAATGGACGGTGGGATAGGGAGGGTGGGAGACGCAAGAGGGAGGAGATAGAAATATGGGGATATATGTATAGCTGATTCACTTTGTTATATGGCAGAAACTAACACACCATTGTAGAACAATTATACTCCAATAAAGATGTTAATAAAAATAAACAGACCAAACACTCTGATTGAAAGACAGTGACTGTCTTACTGGATGAAAGTCTCACCTGTGTGCTCATTAGAAAAGATACACTTATGCCAACATTAACCAAGAAAATGAGAGTGATAATCAGACACAGTGGACTTTTAAGACAAAAAATATTACCAGAAATATAGAGCAACAGTGCATAATAAAAGGGTGAATTTATCAGGAATATACAATATACCTAAATTTGTGTAGAGCTAATAATATAAAGCAAAAGAACTAGACAAATGCATAATCATCGTTGGAGATTTTAGCATACCTTTCTCAGTAACTGATAGAAGCAGGGAAAAAAGTCAGTAAGGATACAGAAGATTAAACCTATCTACTTGGCCTAATTTCATATGTAGAACCAAAATTACACCCAAGGAAAGTTAACTATAATTCTTCTCAGGTGCACACGGACTGCTTCCAAGAGAGACACACCTGTGGGCCATAAGTCAAGTCACAACACACTCCAAAGAACCTGATCGCTGAATTCACGATCCCTGAGCACAGTGAAACTAAACCACAACCGAATAACAGAACGATGACTGCTGAATTCCCAGCACAGTTCTAAATGATCCACGGGAAGAATAAACACAATGGAGATTAGAAAGTATTCTGAACTGAGTGAAAAATGAAAATACAACTTGCTAAAAATTATGGAATGCAGCTAAAGCAGTGATTAGGGGGAAGGTATTAGCTCCAAAGGCATATATTGGAAATGAAGAGAGGTTAAACCTCAGTGATCCAAGTGTTCATCACAAGAAGCTAGGAAAAGAACCACAAATTAGGGACTTCCTTGGTGGTCCAGTGGTTAAGAATTCACCTTCTAATGCAGGGGATGCAGGTTCGATCCCTGGTCAGGGAGCTGACGCCAGCCACATGCTGTGGGGCAACTAAGTCCCTGCGCCACAACTACTGAGCCCGCGTGCTCTGGAGCCTGCGCGCCACAACAAAGACCCGACGCAGCCAAATAATAAAATTTAAAAAATAAAAAGAAGTGCAAATTAAACCCAAAGAAAATGGAAGGAAATAATAAAAGAGCAGAATCAATGAAATGGAAAGCAGACAAAAATCAACAATGCCAAGAGTTAGTTCTTTTAAATAGTAATGAAACTGATAAACCCACAGCATGACTGATGAAGAATAGAAAACAAATTGCTAATTATCAGGAATGAAAGGTGGGCATCACTGTAGATCTCTCAGATCTTGAAAAGAGTATATACTGTGAACAATTTATAAAACTGATAAATTTGACAACTTAGATGAAATGGATAAAATCCTTGAAACACACCACTTACTAAAATTGACATAATTAATAGAAAACCCGAATAGCTCTATGTCCATTAAATTGAATCTGTAATTAAAAATCTTTTCACAAAGAAAATTACAGTCTCAGATGACTTCACTGGTGAATTCTTCCAAACATCTAAGAAAGATATACCAATCTTACACTCAGGAAACAGAAAGTGGGAATGTCTCCCCATCTCATTTTATGACACCAAAACCCAAGGACAAGGCAAGAAAGAAAATGACAGACCACTCTCTCCCCTGAACATAGAGGCAAAAGTCCTAAACAAAATATTAACAAATTGAACCCAGCAATATAAAATGGATAATACGTTATAACCAAGTGGAATTTTTATTACAGGAATACAGGATTGGTTGACATAAAACAAAAACAAACAAAACCCACAAAACTAATTCGCCAGAGGAGAAACCATAGGATCATCTCAACAGAAGCAGAAAAAGCTTACGACACGATTTAATACCCACTCATGAGAACACTGAGCAAACTAGGAATAGAAGGGATTTCCTCGATCTGATCAAGGTATATGTCCGAAAGACCTATGGCCAGCTTTCTATGTGACGATGAAATACTGAGTGCTGCCCCTGCTGAATCCCATCAAGGCAAGGTGTTCACTTCTTAAAATTTTTATTTATTTACTTTTTGGCTGCGTCGAGTCTTCGTTGCTGCGTGCGGGCTTTGTCCAGTTGTGGCGAGCGGGGGCTACTCTTCGCTGCGGAGCTCAGGCTCTAGGCATGTGGGCTTCAGTAGCTGTGGCTCGCGGGCTCTAGAGCGCAGGCTCAGTAGTTGTGGCACACGGGCTTCACTGCTCCGCGGCACGTGGGATCTTCCCGGACCAGGGCTCGAACCCGTGTGCCCTGCATTGGCAGGCGGATTCTTAACCACTGTGCTGCCAGGGACGCCCCAAGGTGTTCACTCTTATTGCTGCAATTACACATTGTACAGGAGATACCCAGTGCAATCAGGCAATAAAAGGGGAAAAAGGACAGAAAAATTGGAAGAGAAAAAGATCAAACTATCGCTATTCACAGATGACAGACTGTGGATATAGAAAATCCCTAGGGGATCTTAAGAAAAAAGTTTAGAATTAGTCAAGTTGACCATCTCAAGATACAAAGACAATGTATGAAACATCTACTGTATTCCTGTATATCTGCAACAATTGGAAAAGCAAACTTATAAACCTGTTGTGGGTTGAATTGTGTCTCCCCCAAAAGATATGTTTACCAAAACGATGCTGAAGTCCTAATCCCCAGAATGTGTGAATGTGACCTCATCTGGAAATAGGGTCTTTGCAGGTATAATCTCAGGTGATGTCCTGCTGGATTAGAGTGGGCCCCAAATCCAATGACTGGTGTTCTTACAAGAAAAGGACAAGAGACAGACACGGGTGAGAACATACCGTATGAAAACAGAGGCAGAGATTGCAGTGATGCCTGTGTAAACCAAGGACTGCCAGCGACCACCAGAAGCCAGTAGTGAGGCACGAAGAAATGTTTCCTCACAACCTCTAGAAGGAACCAGTTCTACTGACACCTGGATCTTGGATTATATCCTCCAGAACTGACAGAATAAATTCCTGAGCCACCTAGTTCGGGGTGCTTTTTTATGGGAGCCCCAGGAAACTAATGCATAACTCTACTTAGGTAATGTCAAGAACATAAAATGCTTAGGAGAAAATTATCAGAAGTGTGCAAAACCTTTACAATAAAAGCTGTAAAATATTGCTTAGAGAAATTCAAGAGCACACAAATAAAAGATACCATGTTCATAGACTGGGAACTCAGTAGTCCTTAAGATGCCCGTTCTTCCCAAGTTGATCTATAGACTCAGTACAATCTCAGTCACAATCCCAATAGGCCTCTATGACAAACTGATTTTAAAATGAGTACTCCCCCCCCTCCCCATTTCTTGGACTCCAGTTACGTGTGTGTTAGAATGCCTGATATGGTCCCACAGGTCTTTATTTTTTGGCTGCGCCGCACGGCACGCGAGATCTTAGTTCCCCGACCGGGGATCGAACCCGTGCCCCTGCAGTGGAAACTTGGAGTCCTAACCACTGGACTGCCAGGGGATTCCCTCCCACAGGTCATTTTTTCCCCCAGTCTCTTTTCTCTCAGTACTTTATTTCTGGTCGTTTCTGTTTATATGCCATCAAGGTCACAGGTATTTTCTTCCAGCGTTTCTCATCTGCTGTTGTAGTGTTTTTCATTTCAGATATTGTTATCTTTTGTCCTTTGGATTTGGATCTTTTTTACATCTTCCAGTTCTCCTTCTTGTTCGTGTTTTCCTTTATATCCTTCAGCGCAGTCGTAAGATTTGTAATGGTCGTTTTAAAGTCCTTGCCTGCAAATTCACCATCTTTGGTTCTGTTTCTATTGCTTGTTCGATATTTCTTCCGATTTATGGTTTATATTTTCCTTCTTCTTGGGATGGCCTGCTAATTTTTTGCCTGGATTCCAGCATTTTGAATTTTACTTTAGTGTGGGATGGTTTCGTATTTCTTCTAAAAGAATGTTGGACTCTGTTCCAGCAGGCAGTTAAGTTACTTAGGACCAGTTTGATCCTTCTTAGGCTTGCTTTTAGCTTTAGATTCCATACTAGGGTAAGAGAAGCCCACTGCCGAGCTGAGACCCTTCTGAGGGCTCCACGCCAATACCCGTGTACAACCAGGTCTCTCCACCCTGGTTGGTGGAAACTTTCCCCCTGGATTTATGGAACTTTATGCCACACGTGCACAGATGAGTAGATTCGAGGGGGTTCTCTGCAGACCCGTGGAGCGCTCTTAGTGCAGCCCCTCCTGTCTGCATCTCTGCCCCACACACTCCAGCCACCCCACATGCTGGTCTCTGCTTCCTCTGCTCAGCAACCCTGCTGGGCTCCTCCCAGTGCCGGGGCCTGCAGGCTGCCTCCAGGCCGGAAGCTGGGGCCCTCAGAGGCTCACCTTGTTCCCTGCCCTTCACTCAGGAAACACTGCCACGTGCTGCCTCTGCTCCAACATCCAACAACACCGTTAAAAAAACTTCCTTGGCTTCACAGTTAACAGCAGGAGGACGGTTTCTGTAGCCACTCTTCCTCCACAGACGCTGCTGCTGCTGAGTTTAACAGTCCAGGCACATGGTTCTCACTCTCCAGACGACACCACATTCTCCACCGAGACAAGCCGGGGCTCCCAGGACCCAGCTGGCTCCACACTCAGCTACGTGAGTGGTCCTGACAGTTAAGTTCTTCACAGTCCAGAGCTGTCTGAAATCTCCTTCCGTGCTGCGTGTCTCCACCCCGCAGTGCTGTTTACTCTTAACACTTAGTAGTGGATCCAAAACCTGTGACCGTCAAGGTGAAGCAGCAGAACGTCACTTGCATTCTGTCATTCTCTGTGATGACCTGGAGGTTTTATTTTTGTTTAAAACAGTATGAACTGTGGGTTAAGTTTTTTCTTCTCCTTTTAAAAAATATAGTAATGAAATTGAGAAGTATCAATCCTTTCTGGTGCCGTAACGTTTTGATTTTTTAATGGCATGAGCATGTGGGCAAACGCCAATAAAAGAACATTTTGCTGTTTTTTTAGCTACTGTTAGCTACTTCATCGTAAGATTACTTATCAACGTGATCTGAAGAGGCTCCCCCAGAGGCTGACCCCAGGTCGGGGAGTGACCTCATCGGGAACCTGAGGGGCTTGCCTGGGGCTTTGGTGTCCCCACCTGTCAATGTACGGACGGGGGCGAGGGCCTGGCTCACACCTAGACCACAGTAACAAGTCGCCAGAACCCTTGACCAGGGCCTGAGCCTCCCGGGGCCTGAATACATCCTCTCTTTTGTTCCCGAGATGCCCTCTTGAGGAGTGATCCAAAGGAACATCAGGGTTGGTCTTGCAGGTTGGGTGGAATTTCCAGGGAACTCGGGAAGTGCGTCCCGGCAAGGAGAGAGGCCGGGTGGTCCTAGGGGCCAAGCGTGCAGACTCGGAACCAGGTGTAGACGGCACGCCCGCGTGCTGGGCGGAGCGGGGTGTGGAGGCGGCAGGGGCCCCTCAGGAGCCGTGTGGTGGGGTGGGTGGTGCTCAGTGCTGGGGCACACAGGGCTCCCCTCACCACGGCTCACCTCACAGCAGGGAACCTGTAGCTCTCAGCAGCCAACGCGGCCCACAGGGCAGACGAAGCGGAGGCTTACCTACGGGTGGCTCTGCCCCCGACGGCCTCAAGACTGTTCCCCGGGAGAACAGGGGTGGGCACAGGCGGGTCTCGGGGCCCGAGCGGGCAGCTCCCCCTAAGGGGTCCAGCCTGGACTCGTCCCAGGGTTTGCTCCCTGGCCCTGCCTGTGCTCTCACCAAGTGCCCGGCCTCAGCAAGGCGGGGATGAGCCCAGCCCTGGGCTTGGGGTCCCGGGGGAACGTGGGGGGTCTCTGCCCTTCCCGAGGACACCCTCTGGCGTGGTCACAGCCCGGCCTCAGTTTCTTCCTTTGCTGGATCACCCCATCACCCAGAAAAACGAACCGGCCTCTTGACCCCAAAGCCCCTCTGCCTCCTGCCCCTCCCCCACTCTCCTGTAAACCAGCTTCCACTGGGCGATGGCCAAGGTCACCTCAGCATCAGAGCCACGTGGCCAGTCTCTCCCTGCCCCACGGCCTCCAGGCTGCCCTCATCCTCACCTGCTCTTGAAGCCTGGTTCTGGGGCTCGAACCCTGGTCCCGTCCACACAGGTTCATGAACATTTCACCAGGTGCCTGATGGGCACTGCAGACGGGACCCCTCCAGGGACCGCAGCCCCTCCTTCCCAGAGCTCAGACCACAGCCTTGGGGTCCTCCTTGCCCCCTCTCATCCTCCTACCTGCATCCCGTCTGTCAGGAAGCCCTGTGGGTCCAGCCGTCAGAGTAATTCCGCAGGCCAGTCCCACTCACCCTCTCTCAGGCTGAGAGCCAGGCCGGGCACGGTCTCCACACAGAAGCGGGGCCCTCGCCGCTCCCCCTTCACTCAGGGACGAGCCATATCCTTGTATGTGCACAGAAGCAGCTTCACCAAGAGGCCGGGAGCAGCGGGAGCTATGGAGTGTTCTAGGGGGTGAGTGGAAGCTAGGCTGCAACCAGGCGGCAGCTCCACGCCAACTTTCTGCACACTGAAGACAGAGCTCAGAAGAAAGGGACCATGCCGGGGTTCCTTTTGTTCACTCTAAATGCTGTTAGCACGTTGTTGCCAGCTTATACCCGATTAAATACTTGTAGTTCTTCATTGCTGTCTCAGAGGTCACCCTCCCTGCGCCCCCGAGACCGGGTGGGGGCACCCGCCTCCAAGGCCATATGGAAGCCCAGCCCACTCCCCACTCCCCTCTGCTGGGCCCCCCAGCCCCTGCTCCACACCCCTGCTGTCCTCTTGGCACTTACCACTGTGGCCCACCGACAGCGCTGAGTCCCTGGCTGGGCTGTGTCCTGGGCACGCGAAGGCCCGGGTGACCTGCTAGATGGAGGAGGGTGAGGGCACCAGGAATCGAGAGCTGCCGCCGCCGGCGACCCTAGAGGTGCTCCAGGGCCAGGGCCCGGGGTCCCCTCGGGGGCACAGCCATCAGCTTGCCCGCCCCCTCCCCGCCGCAGCCCATCACAAAGCAACCAGACGAGGCCTCCTGCTGTACTAATGTATTCCATCTTTCAAAAAGAAAGACATGATTTTAATATTACTTAACAATATGTTAAAAAAGTAGCCAGGCAGGCCTCCGTGTTAATACAGCCGAACACTCTAACAGACTTGATGGTGTGAGTACTGGGTGGGTGCTTTGTGTTTGAACTTTCTCATTCTGCAAGGGATCTTACACAAGCTGGCTACAAGTCAAGGGGATCAGACACGGACAGCGCGACGTGTACACTCTTAAACAGTAGATTGTGGAGGAGAACGGAGAGCCCTGCCCTGCCCGGCTGCCTCGGGTGGGACGCAGGGCACAGAGAGCTGAGCGCAGCGACACCCCGGCAGGACAGGTGGCGGGACAGGGCGAGACACAGAGGCAACGGGCCACGTGGGGATGCGAACCCGTCCGGCCGCGGCCCAGGCCTCCGAGGCCGCGGCGGTGGAGAAGGTGGCAGAGCTACTGTTCCGATCCGACGGCAGAGCTACGGTCAAGGCGGCTCACTCACAGACTACACGCACAGGAGCTAACAATGCCGGTCGAGCAGCAAGGTCTCGGTCGGGAGGGGGCTCGGGTGCGGCGGCCCACCCGCACGGCCCGGGGCAGGCACGGCAGCTCCGCGCCCGGCCCACCGCCCGCGTGTCCCTCTCCAGGCGGTCCTCGTTCAGTGGGCAGCAAAGGTGGCTTTTTTCAAGCTGAAATTGGACCAGTTGATGGACAGTCTCTGTCGGGTCTGCCTAGCGGAATCCAAACAGAACCTGCGAAGAAAAGAAGCCCAGCGGTCACGGGAGGAAGAGGCCCACACCCGGTATGCAGCCGGAGAAGCCCAGCACCCAACGGGGCTCAGCGTGCGGGACCCCGCTGGCGTCCACCGTCTCCCCACGCCTTGCTGCCGGAGGAACAGGGTCCCACCTTCTGGACACTGGCCAGCACTCTGGACATCTCTGGGGCTTTATGTCCTTTTCTCTCGTTCTTCAGGAAGCCGCCCGTCCCAGCCAAGCTCTGCCCACGGCCACCAGCCTGCCCTCATTTATCCACGAGGTCACAGTGAGTGTGATGTGAAACAAGCATTTGTATGAGACACAGTTACGACACTGGCCGGCCCCTCCCCCCGCCCCCGCCCCGCCCTCAGGGGCAGGTCGAATGCCCACAGGCCTCCAAGGCCAGCGCAGCCTCGCCGTCGTGCTGCCCCCTGCTTCCCAGGCAATGATGGCCGAGTTCCGTACTAGATGAAGCAAAGAACATTTTCTTTCAAAAGCCTCTACTTTTGCCTAATTTCTGAAATTCTCACCCTTCCAGCACTAACGTGGGTAGCAGGAATTTGGATTAAACTAGAAAATGGTGGTGTTGTCACTCGTGCAGCAGGTGAAATGAAGTGTTTTTGCTTCAGCTGTGGTTAAATCGCTGAGCCAGTCATGGGTGCTGTGTGCCTGGAGGACTGTGTCCAGGTAGATGAAGCCCCCGGCCACCCTGTCCCTCGGCGAAGGGCTGCACCGTCTCCCAGGATCCAAACTCTCTTTCCCTGGACACGGCTGGTCAACCCCAAGTCCTAGTGGTGTCACCTTTTAAACCTTCTGGAAGCTTCCACCTCCTCCTCCACTGTCTCTGCATCAGCACGTGTGTGTCCCCACCCTTCACGCTGCATCCAGAACGCTCGGAAGCACCAACCACGTCCCTGCTCCAAGCCGCTCAGAGAGGAGCTGCAGCCCGAACCAAAGCAGGGTCTCCACGGGGCCCAGGCCGCCTGGTCTGCGTCCTCCCCACACCCTGGCTCCACTCTGGACACCACCTCCCGTCAGGCCTCCGTACTGCCAACCGTGGACTGGGTCACGCACACTTACATACACGTGTACAGAGCACGCGAGTACAGGTAACTATAAGGCAAAAAAAGCCTGGGTACCCGCCCCCCGGGTCAGGAAAACCAACACTGCCAACCCTGGGGCGCCATGCTGTGCCCTCCCAAGCAGGGAGCCACCACCCCAGCCTTTGCCACCAGCAACCCGCATGGCTCTTTGTAGTTCACGACTCGACGGCGGCTCGTGCTGATTCCTTTCTTTCTTTTATAACATTTAATTAATTAGTTACTCAATTAAGGCTGTGTCAGGTCTTCGTTGCGGCACGTGGGATCTTTTGTTGTGGCGCACGGGTTCCAGGGCACGTGGGCTCTGTAGCTGCACCACACGGGCTCTCTAGTTGAGGCGTGCGAGCTCAGTAGTTGTGGCACGTGGGCTTAGCTGCCCCGCGGCATGTGGGATCTCAGGTCCCCGACCAGGGATCGAACCCGCGTCCCCTGCATTGGAAGGCGGATTCTTTATCACTGGACCTCCAGGTAAGTCTCTCATGCTGATTTCTAAACACACAGGAACAGAACCGTACTGTATGTTTTCATGTCGCTCCTTTCATTCAACAGTACGTTCATGCGATTCCGCCGCAAGGCCACAGGCACGGTGGGACTGTTTGCTGGAGTATGTGGGACGCACAACTTGGCCGCTGCAACTTCACACGAGCTCTTCTCCAAGGTGGTCTGACCTGCCCTGCTGCTCCTCGCCCGCGGAGGGAGTCGGGCCCAGCTGCTCCCCAGTGCCAGTCGGGCTGAGGCCGCCACAGTTAACTGGTCACAGGTTTTCTGCGACACCGTTTCATTTGCCCACTTGTCCACAGGTCTGTCTTTCCTTAATGGTCTGTAATGTTTACACATCGTGACACTAATCCTCTGTGATGTGCTGCAAATATTGTTTTCTCACTTTCTTTAAAGCAAACTGTTGATTTTAATGTAGCTCAATTTATCCATCTTTTGTTTTATGGTTGGTGTTTCTAAGAAATCTTTCCCTATGCTCAAAATTAAAAGGTTTGCATATGACACTTAAAACCTTAACCCATCTGAAGTCGACCCTGAGTGTGGTGTGATGCAGGGACAACACACCTGCACAGCTCCATTTATGCACACCTTCTTCCCACAGTGATCAGCCGACCCATCTCTGTCACACACCAAAGCTCAGTGTTCGTACAGGCCTGTTTCTGGGCACCAATGTCACCACATTTTAATAACCAGGACTTTCCAAGTCCTTACAATGGGTAGGAAAAGGAGCCTTCCTTATTCTCCCTATTCTTCTAGGAGGATACTAGCGACCCTTGACAATTTTTTTCTTTTGTGGGTCAATGTAACACATTATAGCAGGGTGAATAAAACAAATGTATGACATGAAGAATCATTATAAAGCAAATAGTGTGGATCACCAGAGTCAAGCTGGGGACCCCCTGCCTGGTGTTTCCTCTCCTCCGAAGTAATCACCATTCTGGCTTTTTACATTGATCACTTCCGTGTCTTTCTTTCAAGTTTTAATGCCTACGTACGCATCCCTGAACATAGTTCACTTCTAAAAACATACTTTATTTAGGTATAATTTATGTACAGCAAATTGCAGTTAGTAGTTAGTGTAGAGCCCACAGTGCTGACAAACATATACGTCTGGGAAACCATCACCTCAACCAGGACACAGAACGTTTCCGTGAAACCCCCAAGTCTCCTTGCCGCTCTGGCCCCAGGCAGGCAAACAGGGACCTCTTGGCCTGTGACCACAGATGAGCGTGTGTGTTCTGGGATTTCGCGTCAGTGGAGCCTCCGCACACATTCTGTCTGGCTTCTTGCACTAAGCAGGCGCCTCTGAGGACTGGCCGTGTGCTGCGGCGGCAGCCTTTTACTGCTGAGTGGCATCCACTGGAGGGACAGAGCACCGTTTTGTTTATCTGCTCATCTGTGTGGACCTCTGGGTTGATCCCAGTTTTGGGCTACAAATAAGACTTCCAGGAACATTCAGGAACAAGTCGTCGTGCAGGCATCCACTCTGCCTTCTCTTGGGCTTTTGGGCAGCCCCCAGCAGTAGAGCTGCTGGACTGAACAGCAGGCATATTAAACAATGTACTTTAGTTCTGCCCAATTTTTAGTTTATGTAAACTGGATATCGCGTCCATTCTTGAGCACCGGCTCTCGTCTAACGTCCAGTCTGTAAGATGCATCTGTGCTGCGGACTGCTCTGGTTTGTTCCTTTCTGTTGCTGTAACACTTCTCCTTTGACTGTACCACAATGTGTCCAACCCAACCAGTTTTAGAAACACTGTGTTAAGTTCCACAAAACCCTTCTTGGGTTTTAAATCCACAGATAAACTTGCGGAAGCTGGAGAGCTTAAAGGTACTTTTTTTTTTTTTTTTTGCTATGTAGTTCCATTTATATGAAGTTCAAAAATACGCAAAACTAATGTATGGTGAAAGATCACCTTTACTTTGGGGGCGCTGGTGATGACTGGGGACGTGTGAAGCAGGCTTCTGGGTGCTGGTAACGCACACCTTGGCCAGGTGGTGGTCACCTGGATGTGCTCACTTTGTTAAAGTTCACTGAGCTCGAAGGCACTGATCTTCTACGCATGAACACGAAGAACCTGTGTGACCCGGGTCCCTCAGTGCTCTCCTGTGAAGTCTCATCGCCTTCTGTGCGCGAGTCTTGTGCAACTCCTACTAGCTTTATTCATGGACGCTGCACAGATCTTGCTGCTGTGATAAACGCTGTCTTCATGTAAACTACATTTCTGAATTATTGGTGGCGTAGAGGAAAATAACTTCCGTACGCTTATCCTACAGCCAGGCTCTTGCTAAACTGTCCTGTTTTCTTCCGTCGTTTCCTATGTAGACAATGAGATCATCTGTAAAATGAAATTCTACTTCCTCCTTTCCGTGCCTCATGCCTTTAATGTCTTGTCTGTCTTACCGTGCTCGCCAGGAACCACGATTTAGGGTTGACCAGAAGAGGACATAAGAGGGCAGCAGGGCGGCTTTGTTTTTGCACATGCTTCCACATCTTTCCCGTTTTGGAAAACGTTTCATGTAGCTTTCTTTTCTCTTCTTTCTCTCCCTCTTTTGGTAAATTCCTTTTTTAAGGTTAAAGATATTTTCTTCTATTGCTTACTATTTAAAAAAGTAGTTATAAGTGGGTGCTAAGATTTTAGCAAAGGTTTTTTTCTGAACTCACTGAGATGATCACGTGACTCTTCTTTACTATGTTAATGTACCAGATAACACTGCGGATTTCCTAACGTCAGAAACTCCTTGCATCCAGTCCTGGGGCAAGCCGGTTTGGTAACATGCTGCTCTTTGAAAACACTGTACACTGTTGGATTTAGCATGTGAATATTTTCTTGACGACTTTTGCACCTAATATTCATGAGAGAAACCAATGTGTAATTTCCCATTTTCTTCTGGTGCTGTTTTTGGCAGATTTTGGTATCCACATTTTACTTCTCTCATAAAACAAAGAGGGGAGCACGCTCCTGTGCTGTCTCATTTCAGTTCTCCGGTAGAATCTACAAGACCGAATAATCTTTCTTTGAAAGTCTTGGACAATTCTCTGTGAAACTGTCAGAATGTAGTTTTCTCACTGGGAAGACTCAGAACTGCTGCTTTAATCTAATAGTTACTGGACCATTCACGCTATCTTTCTATTGGGTTAATTTTGTGTCTTATTTAAGTTTTAAAGTTAATTGTTGTGAAGTTGCTTCCAGTCTCTGGAGTTACGTCCTCCTTTTCACTTACGTACTCACAAAATCAAAGAAACCTTTTATATTACAGAGAATTTCAAACACACCCAAAAGCAGAGAATGGTAAAATGAACAGAGCCACCATCCAACTTTGATAATTATCAACATTCTGTTTCTCCTTCCACCTAATTATGGTATTTTGGGTGTCTTTTTTCTACTTTTCTTGGCTAGTCTCTCAAAGGTTTATTTATTTAATGTTTTCAAAGAATCAAATTTTGGCTTTGATGATCTTCTCTTTGTTTCCTATTTCATTATTGCTCTTATGTATTATCTCCTTTGTTTCACTTTCTTTGAGTTTATTCTATTGCTGTTTTCCTAATTTCTCAAATTAAATCCTAAACTCATTAATTTTCAGGTTTTTAATACTTAACTCCAGCATTTAAGGCTTCAGTGGAAGTGCTCCCAAGGGCAAACCTTTTCTTTTTTTTAAAATTTTCTTGAAGTGCAGTTGATTTATAATGTGGTGTTAATTTCTGCTGTACAGCAAAGTAACTCAGTTTTATATACATATGTATGTGTGTGTGTGTGTGTGTCTGTGTGTGTGTCTGTGTGTGTGTATCTGTGTGTGTATATATGTATATACATATATATATATATATGTATATATATATACATATATATATATATGTATATCCCTTTCCACTGTGGTTTATCGTAGGGTATTGAATCTAGTTAGTTCCCTGTGCTCTACAGTAGGACCTTAGTTGTTTATCCATTCTCTATATAATAGCTTACATCTGCTAACCCCAAACTCCCACTCCATCCCTCCCCCAACCCCCTCCCCCTTGGCAACTACAAGACTGTTCTCTATGTCTGTTTCTGTTTCATAGATAAGTTCATTTGTGTCATATTTTAGATTCCACATATAAGTGATATCATATGATATTTGTCTTTCTCTGACTTACTTGACTTAGTATGATAATCTCCAGTTGCATCCATGTTGCTGCAAATGGCATTATTTCGTTCTGTTTTATGGCTGAGTAATATTCCATCGTGTCTATGTACCACATCTTCTTTATCCATTCATCTGTCGACGGACATTTAGGTTGTTTCCATGTTTTGGCTATTGTAAACAGTGCCATTACGAACATACGGGTGCATGTATCTTTTTGAATTATAGTTTTTTCTGGCTATATGCCCAGTAGTGGGATTGCTGGGTCATATGGTTGCTCTATTTTTAGTTGTTTGAGGAACCTCCGTACTGCTCTCCATAGTTGCTGTACCAATTTACATTCCCACCAACAGTGTAGGAGGGGTCCCTTTTCTCCACACCCATGAGCAAAACCTTTTCTGCATTCCACAGGTTTTCACATGCAATATTTTCCTTATCTTTTAGTTCTATATATTTTTAAATGTCCACTGTGGTTTCTTACTTGACCCATGAGTTATTTAAACTTACATACTTCCAGATTTCCAAATATTTAGGGACATAAAATCTATCTATTGTAAATATGCAACTTCAACATGTTGTGGTCAGAGAACACAAATTATACATCCTTCTTTGACATGTTTGAGCCTTGCTTTCTGTGGCCCAGCACATATCCCGTTTCTGTGGATGGCCCCGTGTGTGTAAGAACTCAGCTCTCTGTGTCTTGGATGCAGGGTTTCACCTACATCCATTAGACTAAGCTTGCCGGTCAAGTTCACAGGGGGGCCTGGGCTGCTCACGCCAATCAGGACGTGGAGAGATGGTCTGAGACCTCGCACCAGGATGGTGGATTTGTTTGATTCTCTGTGAAGCCCAAATTGCTTTTTGTATCTTGAGGCTATTTCATTAAGTACTTGTGTTTAAAATTCCTATTTCTTCCTGACAAATTGAACATTTTATCATTATGTAGCAAACTTCATCTATCCCTTGTGTTAAAATATACTTTGTCTGAGAAGAACAACTGTAACAGTTTCCTTTTTCCTTTCTCTTTATTTCCACCTTTCTTTTCATTATAGTTTAGGTATGTTCTTGTAAACAGTATATATACATATGTGTGTGTGTGTGTGTGTATATTTATTTATTTAAAAAATTTAACACAACCTGACAAACTACTTTTAATTTTGTCTGCTTACTGCCTATCATGGTTACTGACACAACTGGACTTGTGTCTATCATCTTTTTAAAATTTGTTTGTTGTACTTTCTCTACATTTATTTTTTTTCTCTTTTTGTTTTGATTTTTTTCCCTTCTACTGATTAGCAATTTATACACCCTATTTCTATTCTTTCAATGCTTGCTCTTGAAACTGTGTCCTGCCCGTTTAGCTTAAAGTCTGAATGTTAACTCCCTGAACAACAGAAGGACTTCAGGATGCTCAGTTCTGATGATTTCACACCTAACTGACATACTACTGCTGTTCAGTACTGGGGTTCTTTCAAACATAATGTCAGTTAGATATTTACCTAGATTTATCAGGCTGTTTTTCATTCCTTCCTGTGTATGTTACAGTGATCTTCTGAGATCAATTTCCTTTTTCTTTTCTTTCTTCTTTTTATTTTTTTTGGGTCACGCTGCGCAGCTTGCAAGATCTTAATCCCCTGACCAGGGATTGAACCCATGTCTCCTGCAGTGGAAGCATGGAATCCTAACCACTGGACCACCAGGGAATTCCCGATTTCCTTTTTCTTAAAGTATACTTGTAGATGTTTCCTTTTAAAACAGGTCTCTTTGTAGCAAGCTCCTACACTTTTTCTTTATTATGGGAAAGAACAGTTTTGTGGGATACATAATTATAGACTGACCATCTTCTTTCAACACTGTAAAGATCACTCCATGGTCTCTGGTTTCATATGCTATGTCTAGAAACGGATTTTTGTTTGTTTATCCTACTGGTATATGTTGTGCTTTTGAATTTGTAGATTCAAATTTCCCATTAGTTCTGCAAAATCCTCAGGCATCTTATCTCTTTAAATCCTGCTTTTCTGTGGTCTCCATTCTCTCTCAGAGGGGCTTCCGTTAGGTGTATGTCAGACTTAGCCACTCCTCCATGTCTCTTAAGCCCTCTTTCACATTTTCTATTTTCCTTATAATCTTGGTGCATTCTGGGTACACTTCCCAGTTATATCTTCCAGTTCATCAATTCCCTCTTCAGCAGTGTCTAATCTGTTTATCAGGTATCTATCTACTGAGGTCTTGACTTTAATAATTCTATTTTTCATTTCTAGATTTTTATTGTTGGTCTTGGGTGTTTGATAATCTTTGTTTATAAGGTCATGCATGATTTTAAGGTGTGTGAATCCTGCAGGTCTACCTTGGGAAAATATTCCTCCAAAGCTTTGCCTACATCCAAGAAATGCCCCTGTTCCATCCCCTGCTCCCCGGAATCCGGCTTCAGAGCAAACTGTGTTAATAATTCAAGTACTTTAGGGACCTCCCTGGTGGTCCAGGGGTTAAGAATCCTCCTTCCAATGCAGGGGATGCGGGTTTGATCCCTGGTTGGGGAGCTAGATCCCACATGCCGCGGGGCAACTAAGCCCACGCGCTCTAGAGCCTATGCACCGCAACTAGAGAGACCGCGTGCGGCAGCTACTGAGCCTGTGCGCCAAAACTAGAGAGCCTGCGCACTGCAACGATAGATCCTGCATGCCACAACGAAGATCCTGAGTGCCACAACTAAGCCCCGACACAGCCAAATAAAAAAATAAATAAGTCAATAAATAAATATTAAAGAAAAAAAATTGGGGACTTCCTTGGTCGTCCGGTGGTTAAGAATCCACCTTCCAATGCAGGAGATGCGGGTTCAGTCCCTGGCTGGGGAACTAAGATCCTACATGCCGCAGGGCAACTAAGCCCCCATGCCACAACTACTGAGCCCGCACATACCACAACTAGAGAGAAGCCCGCGCTCCACAATGAAGAGCCCACTCGCCACAACAAAGATCCCGCAGGCCGCAACTAAGACCCAATGCAGCCAAATCAATCAATCAATCAATTTAAAAAAATAATTCAAGTAATTTAGCTACAGATTCTTTTGGACTTTGTACAAACATATTCACATCATCTGAGAATGACAATGCCACTTCTTCATCTGAATCCTTATCCCTTTGTTTCTTTTTATTTCTTTAGAAATAGAAGTTGTGATAAGGGGCATCGCTGTCATCACTTCTTTAATCTCAAGGAATGGCTTGTAACGTTTCACCGTGACGTATATAACACCTACTGATTTTATGGACGCCCTTCACCACGTTTAGGAGAGGCCCTTCTCATCCTAGTTAAGGGTTTTTACTATGAATGCTTAACTTTAGCAAATGCTGTACCATCTGCTAAGATTTAAACACACACACACACACACACACACATACACACACATTATAAATGTATTTAATTTTAAGAAACATTTAGAATTTTACAATACTTCATTTATGAATTAATGACTTTTTGTACTGCAAACTGCTTTTGTGAGTGTGTGTGTATGTGTGCGTGCTTTCTGAAACTAAGAGATTAACGTACTTCCAAAGAGAGAACAAGGCACTTTAAAGAAAAATTTTCTTGTCATGACTCACATAGTAGATATTATTGAACATATTATGACAAATATTATTAAACATGTACTAATAAAGTCTGCATATCAGGAAAGCTGACTAAATTAACCGAAGTGTTACTTTTCTCCTCTAAAGCATGCCACATCACTGTGTCCCAATGCCAGCGCATATAAAGCTCAGCTGGGAGGCTTGTGAGAACACGGATGTCGGGTCCCAAGTTCCTAGGCGGTGCTGCTGGTCCAGGACCACTCTGAGATACGCTGCTAGAAACCAGTCTTTACACACACGGGCAGGGACAAGTGAATGAGGTGTGAGAGTGTGGGCGAGGAGGCTAGTACGTGTGTGCCCGGGCTGTGGGTGGGATGTGCACGGCAGGCCTTCACGTGCTAGAATGCTACAAGGCAGCCAGGCTGCTTGGCTAGCTGACACAACTTCTGTCCCAGACAAGCAGCCGTGCTATGTGGGAGGGTCACGCGTGGTAACCACGAAACCATCCCTTTTTCGGACCACACTCCTAACAATTACCTTTTGAAATATTCCACTTCCCTCTCTGTCTCGTCCATGTCCACACTGTCTAGGTCGATATCTTTAGGCAGAAAGACATCATCTGTAAGATGAAAGAAAAGAGGTAAGTCAGCTGAACAGCAGGCCATCTTAGCGGGACACAGCAAAGCATTTGGTTTTACTTAATTTCAACAAGTTCACAAACTAAAGATCTTTTCTAAAATGAGATCTTGCATGGGACTTCCCAGGCGCTCCAGTGGGTAAAACTCCGCGCTTCCAACGCAGGGGACGTGGTTCCATCCCTGCTCGGGGAACTAAGATCCCGCATGCCGCGGGGTGCGGCCAAAAACAAAAAAAAAAAGAAAAAAAGAAAGTGAGAACTTGTCTAATAAAATTTTTTTAAAAATTTAAAAAATGAGAATTTGCAAATGGCCACAGGTGGGCAGACCTCTCTCATGCACTTGGGAACATCCAGGTCACGTGGAAGTAGCGAACTCCTGTGCTGAGTGAAGGAACCACTGCTTCAGGTCCAAGAGAAGAGACATACCTGCTGCCGCCACCGGGAGAGCCCTTGAGAAGACAGAGGCTGTCTGCCCCAAGGCCCCGCTGGAGGGAGGGCAGGGGGGTGGGGGGAGCAGGGGCACGGCTGTCAACAGACGCCGCGGACGTGTCTGTACCCAGGACCCAGATGTCAGCCTCTGGAGGAAGACGGCTCTTCTAGGCATTCAGTTTATCCAAGCAACATCCAGAGACTTCACCAAAAAGCTTTTCCGGTTGTCCCTACCAAACGCAAGGCTATATTTCATTTTGCAGTTGAGCAACCCTCTTTGAAAATAGGCTACAGCAGGGAGACGACTGATGAGGGAGCCTTGGCACCTCTGAGGGTTTTAATTCCCTCCTCTGCTCTGCCCACCCTGTTTGGTACCTGCCCGGCGCTCAGAGGCTCCATCCGTGCACACCTAGGTGCTGGGGGGCACTGGCGGTGTACGCACAGCATCCGGCTCCACTCACGGATGAGTGCAGACCACCGACAGTGCTCTGTTAAAGCCAGTCTCCATTCCCTGTCCCCACCTTAGCAAGGGACAATTTTTCGGAATCCTCAGTAAAGGACCCCCGTTCCTCCCATCACTGGGCATTTGCACAGCGGTAATGAAGGTGTGGTTTACCTGCATACCAGCGGCTAACACTGCTGAAGACTCCCAGCGCCATGCGGAGTGCCTTCACATCCACCAGCTCAAGGCAACGCCGCGGGCACCGAGGAGCCCCCGCACGGCCCCCTGCACGACCACAGCCCCTCCCGCACAGACAGCTCGGGGCCTGGGTCTTCCTCGACTCCGCCCCTTGCCGCTGTATCCCTGTGGTTTCAGCCACACCTGGATACCAACACCACCAAACCAACCCCGCCCCAGACCTCCTTCATGAGCGGCTCGTCCATAAAGCCACCTCCTCTGTACGTCCACCCTTCAGGCAGCCGACCCCCAAGGCGGGCAAAGCCTCTGTGATCTGCTGCGGCCGCTCCCTTTCTGACAGTGATCTAGAAATGATCCTCCCCCCACCCCCTTCCTCACACTCACGTCCCACCTGTCGCTCCGTCACCATGCTGGGCACGTTCCTCGTCAACAGTTGCAGATGCCTGTCTCCATCCCACTGCTGCTGCTTCTGGGATGCCCCCCCAGCCCCCGCCCAGGCTCCCTGGTCCAGGCCGCCAGCCCGCACAAGTCACCCTCACAACACGCTCCTTCCCAGCCACTGAGACCGTTCGTTCATCAGGCCTCCGCTGCACACCTACCGCAGGCATCTCCTGGAGGCCCACCGGCTGACCCTGATCAAGGAAACAGTGATGCACGAGGAGAGGAGAGGTGAGGGGGGCCAGGAGTGTTTACAGGTGTAAAGAAGGTAAAGTCTTAGAAAGGCCAGACTCAAGTTATTCCATAAACAAGTTCTAGAAGCGCAGTTGGTTCAACCACAGAAGCAAACACAGAGCAGACACGTCTGCTGGGAGTGCTCTCATTATAAAGCGATTTCTAATACTCTTCTAATTAGAACTGATAACCGGTATTAAGAATCTTGGCACAAGAAAAAAATGGGACAGAACTATAACCAGATTCAGTATCAGACAGACATTTTTCACAACAAAACTGTTATTAACCAGGGTGGAAAGAAAGAGCGACCTAAAGAATTTCGTACCCGCCGGGCTGTCTGTTCACTGTTCAGACCACAGGAAACAGTTTGCTTCGCCAGAGCTTGGAGGACTCTGCGCCCCTGACCCCTACTCGAGGACACGCGCCTGGGAACACCGCTACACGAGGACCAACACGGGCACCTAATGTATTCACGCGCAAACCTACAAATACTATGCGCTCTGACAAAGCAGAAACAAACGCAGCTGAAAAATGGGAAGAGAAAGGACAGCACAAGCGGGCAGAGGAGAGAAAACAGGGTCCGTGCACGGCTGTCCCCCAGGCAGTAGGTGGTGCCACAGGCCCCCATCTGGAGCAGGGATGGGGCACTAAAGGTATAAGTGCAGGGGCAGCACCGGTACAGAGTCGCAAACGTTCCTAAACACCAAGGATATACAGAAAGAAAGGCAAACATCTCACACAGAGAGAGAATCAGCGAATATAAAATATAAAACAGAGGACTTCCCTGGTGGCACAGTGGCTAAGATTCCACGCTCCCAATACAGGGGGCCCGTGTTTGATCCCCGGTCAGGGAACTAGATCCTGCATGCATGCCGCAACTAAGAGTGCTCATGCCACAACTAAGGAGCCCACAGGCCACAACTAAGACCCAGCAGGCCAAAAAATACACACACACACACATAATATATGTATGTATTAAAAAACTGATCTAATAATTACAAAATAATGTCAGGGCTGTCCTATCAATACATGGAAACAGGCTCACCTCACCTGTAGATAAGACTGTCAATGTGGCTCACACAGCAGGACTGAGGTGTCTCGGCTGTATGCAAGGGAATGACCTAAAACCAAGTGACTCAGATAGACCAGCAATGAAGGAATGAGGACAAAGGTGCCCCACCAGGCAAACAGAAACAGAGAGAAGGGGTAGCAATCACCATCTCAGACAAAGGAGAATTCGAGCCAAAAGTGTGAAACGCAACAGAAAGGACATTTTTAAACAATAAAAACCAAATTCAATATAAGAAATTAGTTAGGAATATGTACCAAGTAACAAAGAGACCACCTTTTTAAAGCAAAACTACAGGAAATGCAAGAAACACAGAAACTCAATAATAAATAATAATATATGTCAAGAGGACAAAAAACAAGTAAGGATACAGAAGACCTAAACCTAAACCTAAATCAAAGATATATCATGGATATAAATACATACTTAGTTCAATACCATGACAGCAGAGAAAATACACTTGTATCTCAAGTGAACACAGAGCAGTCACAAAAACTAGTCACAAAGAAAATACCAGTAAGTTTCATGAAGCAGAAACATTACAAACAATACTCTCGGATCACAGTGTACAAAACGTAGAAATTATTAACATAAACGAGGCTCTCCCACCTGGAAACCTAAAAGCCACCTATTAAACTACTGGGTGAAAGGGGGAAAGAAAACCACATGGAAACTGCTGAATTTCTAAAAAAGAAACCAAACGGAAACATTATCATACACTGTGGGATATACTTAAAGGAATGATCAGAGAAAACTCAAGGTGCTAAATACTTTGATCAGTAAAAATGAAGGAATGAAAAGAAATGAACTCAATTCCCAAATCAAAAAGTTAGAAAGAACAATGAAGTAAAACAAAAGGAAGCACAGGATAAAAAGATAAAAGTAGAGATTAATGAGGCAGAGAGACAAACAACAGTATACACCCAACTGGTAAATCAAGAGCCTGGCCTTTGAAAACATTATACAGATAAACCATTAACCAACTGAGTCAAACAGAACAGGGAGAAAGAAAGCACAAACATACAAAAATAAGAAACGACAAGAGGAAAATAACCGCTGAAAGAAATTTTTTAAAAAGTACGTACTCGGGCTTCCCTGGTGGCGCAATGGTTAAGAATCTGCCTGCCAATGCAGGGGACACGGGTTCGAGCCCTGGTCTGGGAAGATCCCACATGCCGCGGAGCAACTAGGCCCGTGAGCCACAACTACTGAGCCTGCGCGTCTGGAGCCTGTGCTCCGCGACGGGAGAGGCCGAGACAGTGAGAGGCCCGCGCACCGCAATGAAGAGGGGCCCCCGCTTGCTGCAACTGGAGAAAGCCCTCGCACAGAAACGAAGACCCAACACAGCCATAAATAAATAAATTAAAAAAAAAAAAAAAGTATGTACTTCGCAGACATCTATGTGAACAAGCTGGAAAACTGGCTGAAAAGATAATTTACTACGGAAATACAGTTTAGCAAAATTAACCTCAGTGAAGAAAGAAATACTTAAATAGACCAATTACCATGGAGGACAGAGAGAATACCATCAGGCAACTTCTCCACAAAAAGCACCGGCCTGGGGGGCTGCACAGGAGATTCCTGTCAAATCATTAAAGCCTAAGTAGTCCCAATGGAAGGTGAATTGCTCTAGAATACTGAAAATGAAAAACAAGCAAAAAAAGCCTCCTAATTCTTTACGAAGTATAACAGGTCTAAGAAGAAAAATTATGTTTAATCTCCGTAGATACTAGAAAACCTCTGACAAAATTCAACACTCATTCCTGATAAAATACTCAAGAAAAATAGGAATTGCTGGATATTTTCTTAACATGATAAAATATATAAACCTTACCCTAAAGCCAGAATCTTAATGTAGAAACACCAGACGTTTCCATTAAGTTCAAGAATGATGCAATTAAACAAGAGAAAACAAGAAGCATAAGAACTGGAAAAGAAGTAAAGCTTTCTCTATTTGCAAATAGATGATAGAGTAGCTGGAAAACCCCAGAGAATCAACAATAAGACTCAAACAATGAAATAATCTGCTAAGGTAGGAGATATAAAGTTAACATACAGAAAGCAACAGCTGTCATACACACAAATGACCAGTTAGAGGAGCACCATCCAGTAGAAACACAACATGAGCCACATACATAACTTAAGATTTCGTAGTAGCCAGCTGAAAAAATT